CCAAAGCGAAGTCGATGGCCGCCGCGACTGCTGCGCAGTCCTGTCCGCTTGCGTTGGGCACCTCAGTCTGTAGCCGGGCGAGAACTCCTTCCGACCGCACTGTCCGCGCTAATGCACTGCGGAGCTTTTCCTTGCTGAACATAGTCGCTCCCTCGCCAATCCCTTCGCCTTTTCCCGCGACGGCTTCAGCTGCTGCTTTGCGGCACGCTTTCAGCTGTTCTGTCGCGAGCGCCGTGTGTACATTCTGCGCATCAGCGGCAAAGCCACGCATGTCGCTGCCGCTCGCGAGACCGCCCGGACACGGGCTGTAGGCACCTCTCCGGAAAAGTTGCAACATCGCGAAGTAATCATCTCGGAAGAAGATCCAAAGTGGTTGACGATTACCATCCTCAACTGACTCGACGCCGCGGCTGACATCCGGAAAACGCGGATCGGTGTCGAGCAGTCTGACCAACGCAGAACCATGGCGCAATCGTGCTAACGTAATGTGTGCCCAGGACCAAGGATCGCGATCGCCGTGTCTGCAAGTCTTCAACAGCAAACGACTGGCGTCTTCTTCTGGAAGGAAGGGCCTCCTATCGCGAGTGTCCCACCTATGGAGGAAGACCGCCAAAACTTGGCAGAATGTCCTGTCAACAAAAAGACCATGCTGGGAAAATTTGTGTACAAGGTCAAGTCGCTGTGGCAATTTGTTGACGACCGACTGCAATACTGTCTCCCTGTCACCCCATCCATGCCTCGCCATTACACCGGAGATCTCGATAGTACCCAGATCAAAGACGAGATCCAATGCGCGGAGGTTGTCACGATGGGGCTCCATGAGCTCGCACACGTCACCAAGAGAGGGAGGCCGTGGGTCATTTTCGTACACCTTCCAGAGATTGACAAGACCATCTTCGAAATCATCCACAGACCATAGCACTGCCTGGAGGTGCTCTAGACCTAGACTCGAACCCACGGCATCACGCAGAATCCTCCGCCACATGATGCTGAAAGACTCGGCAAGAACCCTGCCCAACGTCTCGAAAACGATGACTGAGCAATGAAGTCGAAGCGGGGCCAATGCTGCCAGGACTTGGCTTATGTCGTGACCCGGTCGAGAGTTCCCAAGAACGTCGCCTAACTTGTCCTCGACCAGGTGGTATCTGCGCGGGTGGTCTTGTGCATCGCGAATCAGGTCGGCGACATCCCTGACGAAGCCACTGAAGGCACTGTTCTCCACTCCATCCCGACGAAGCGTTGAGGTCACTGTTTCCGACGACGTTGCCACTTTTTTCTCCTCGATGGATACCGTTACTCTATTAATGGATCATAATCTTTCGCCTCAAGTATGCGACATCAACACAATCCCTACCCTTTTTTCGTTTTTCTAACCCTTGTCAGTCGACAGGCGTAGCTGGAATCCCCTGCATTTCAAAGAAAAACTTGGACGAGCTTTCGTGTTCAAGCCACTGAATAGACACCATACGCATTCCCTCGCCATGACTAAATAACTCTTAGCTAGATAAGAATGGGCGTCGATTTTTCTGGAAAAAACTTTAATTCGAGGACCCTGAGACTCAAATACTAGCTACGGACGACATCAAGGCGAAGAGTTTGCGGAGGGCTTACTGCCTCACCGATTGCGCTACGTCGTTCGATCCTCCGTGTTGATCCTCCGTGTTGATCGTCTTGAGCATTTTCATCCGAAGGCTTGACTAGTCTCAAATGAGCCCTCCACACTTAGCTTTTAGACCTAAAGGAAATTTTCATGGGTCATTTCGGCGTGTGGTTCAAAGGGGAAAAAATGCAGGATACTAGCTGGGAAACGAACGTCCGAAAGATCACCACATTTGCAAAAAAGCGGGTACGTGAAGTGATACCACACCGGGGGAAGGGAAGAGGAGCCGCGTGTCGCTTGTGAGTACCTCAGCACTTTCTTCTTTAATATTCGTCTTCCCCACAGATCATTTCGCTATCTTTCCCGACCACCTGTCAGGAGGCGTGGCGTCGCTTCGGCGATCATAAGTCTTGGGAAAAATGGCATATGTTAGGACCCGCACAGCTTTCGCAGCTGGTCAGCCTCCTCGTCTGAGCTACTTTCCCAAGCAAGTGGTCGCCGATCTTGCTTTTTCGCACGAAGTGCGATAGACGCCTCGCGCGCGTTTCGAGCGATTCGCCCACCATGGGCCAGATGTTGCAGCGCGACCTCCGCGACGGTCGCCAGCTCGTCCTCGCTGTAGCCATGGGCTGCGTGGGGGGTTGCGACTCCTCGAAGAACCTCTGCGACAGTGACCCACCGCAACGACTGCGCAACCGCAACGGATTCCAAATGCCGCATTATCTCTGCTTCGACCCCCTTCACGGCCTGACGCTGTAATTTGATGGCGAAGCCGCTCATCGCCGAGGTATGTAGCAGTGACAGGCCCAGCGGGTGTTCCATGGCGGAGTCTCCAGGCGCGAAAAATTAGAGAGGATGCAAATCATTGTTCCCCAGGAAGGGGAGAAAATCCGCGAGGTGCTCCCTAACCCCCCCCGTAACAGGAAGATGCACATGTGCGTTTTCCTTAACGAACGCACCGCCCGCCGCTGGATTCCCCGTTCGTTCTTTCGCCGTGAGAGATAGCCCGCGCCTCTCCGGAGGAGCTCGAAGACTCTTGATTCGTGAGACTCTGGGCATTTGCTTCGGAAGGTTGTGCACTCCTGTCGCCGTACAACCACGGACGCGCTCGGAAAAGCTCTTGCTGTGCGGCCGTGGTTTCGTCTCGCACCTCCTTATACCAAGCATCCCCGAAAAAATCGCCCCAGGCCTTCGCCTTTGATTTATGCCCGCGGTGGTCCTCACAGTACCAGAGCGGGCGGGAATTTTTAGTCCATCGTTCGTCGGTCACTTCGCCGCAGTCGAGCTCCTGTGGGATTTTTCGGAGGTGGCACAGTCGTAGGGGATCAAAGAACCGAGCTTGCAGAGGGTTCCCAAAAAAAAACCGTTCCGCCATGTGGTGAGATGGTAAACACATCCGCTCACGCAGTATCAGACCGAGTTCAAGTAGTACGAAAAGGAGTAACGCGCTACCTGGTCCTGACGCGGCCCACACAGAAGACAACGCTGGAACACGCGCCAATCTTTTTCGTCGCGCACGTCTGGTCTCATGACTAAAACCAAATACGGCAGCCCCGGCACCGGTTCAGCGGGATCAGTCGCGCTGTCCGAAGTGGGACGCCCTCCCAAAATGGTGCCTGCTGCTGCTGCGTGGTCTGGCCCGAGACCCTTTGGCCCTAGGAGCTTCACCTGGGCGGCCCTTCGCAGGTAGAGGATCTTGTCTTTATACCTGTTGATGGCACAAGTGTAGGCTTTGATTTCTGAAGCATTCTTTTTCTCCTCCGCGATTCGCTGTTCAACTTGCTCCGCCCCAAATTCACCTGCGCCGTCCACTTCTTCACGACTTTTCATGTTGCGTCGCAGCCGTAGGTTCGCTGGAAGCGTGTTCGGTGCTTTCTCCCGCATGTTTTGCTTCTCTGGCTTCATCTTTTTCTTCGGCGTCTCCGCCTGCTTCCTCCTGTGCTGTTCGCGCGCTTCCTCCGACGCCGCTTGCTCCTGGCTTGCCCAATATTTCCGCTTCTGTGCATCCTCCTGCTGCTGCTCCAAGGAATACACGGCTTTCTCCACGCTCTTCGCGCGATCCTCTGAGCCCTGTTCTGCGGCTGCGAGGCCGATGCCTTTCAAGCCCTCATCCGTAAGTCCATGCGCCTTGACAGCGTCACAGGCCTCCCTCACCTCTGCTTCTTTCTCCAGTCCGCTGAAACCAGGGAGAGGAAACCAGGGAGGAGGAGACGCCTGGTTACCAGAGACACTTTCCTCCATTCCAACGGACTGGCAGCCGTATGGGGACAAGCGGGATAACGAGGAGGAAGACGACTGGGTATCTACCCCGCCCGCAAAGTCAGTACCTCCTCCATTTGTCCCATTCATTTCTGCCAAGATGCGTTCGTAACATCTGTAGAACACCTCCTCTACCGACTTCCACTTGTAGGCATTCCAAGAAGGGTCGCGATTCCCATTCCCAAATTTGAAAAGATCGGAGGTAATAGAAAAGTAAGACTGACCGCGCGTTTCGTGGGAGAAGCTATTTACGCTAGATGCGGTCGTACTTTCTGGTGCGCTTTTTCCAGGAGCCGTCTGTTTCCTATCGAAATTCAGCTCAGTATGTTGAGGAGCTAAATCTCCTTCGGACAATCGGCCGTAATACTGCAGTACATCGAGAACCACGTGGTCTAAACTCATGACCTTCTGCTGTGCGTCTGTAGCATAATCCTGCTTTGGAGTCATCTTCACTCGGAAGAAGTGCAACACCAGTAACGACAAGAGTAAACCACTGACTCCTCCTCTACCTCCGTCTGCTAGTCCGTGCTTCGCCAGAATACGTTTTAAAAAATAACGAACTTTGTAGGCAAGCTTGGTGACTCCAGGAGACTTTGACGCTAGTTCCTGGAACAATTCCCGCACTTTATCAGTGGATTCAAGACCACTATTGGTAAATACCAAGTCGAATTTCAAAGGAGCTGAGCCCTCGTTGCTTGTAAGTAGATTCAATCGTCACTCTGGGCACCCCATTCCCAACCCTTCGGTTTACCCGCCATTGACGCTGCTTAAGGGCTGCTTGAGATTGCGCCTCGTCCAGCAGAAACTGCCTTTCTTGAGAAAAGACCTGTTTAAAAAGCTTTCCACTTTCTGTCGTTTCCGGGGCTGCTTTCTTGAGTTAGCGGTAGGTGTAAGGTTTTTAAAAATTTTCCCTCATATGGGTCTCTTGGGTTACTTCACTTATCGAAGTGTGAAGAATACCTCGTCACGGGATAATAAAATTGGATGTAAAGCGCTTTGATGAAGCAAATTTGATAACGAAGGGAAAGTAGCGACGCTATATCGAAAGAAAAATACTCTTTCTCTCCTTCCTTAAAAGACCCCAATCTCATTCAGGATAAGAGGCAAACAAGGAAATCATGAATGATGAAACAAAAGTACGGGTCTCTTTCCATAATGGAGTGCCTGCAACCGTTTCAGCTTTACTTGTGCACTAGTGGTGTCCACCAATGAAGCAAACAAATCCATCGCGTGGCGTCTCTGGTGCTGTTCAGGTGACAAATTAGGCACAGCCGTTTGTTGCTTTTTTGTAGCCAGCTTCGCAACCCTTGCTGCCAACCTTCCACCCCAGCCGGCCTCCACTCCTTTGGCACCCTTCACTGCCGTGTACTCATCGCCACTGATCGATTTTTCACTGATCTCCACATAGAGATCATAATCGGAGTGACCCCGTAAGAACCCTGCCACTTCCTCCTGAGTAACTTCATCTTGAACTACAGGTCCTCCTGTAATATGCTCTGGTGTAGCCAGCGGAGCAGACGAGCCAAAGGAATGAATCGCGCACGTTCGTCCTTTCACCTTTCCGCACCATCTCTGAATCTCCTCTTTCACCCCTTCTATCTCGGAGGACTCTTCTTTCAGCGCAGCAGCGGCCTCTTCCTCTGCAACCTTCGTTAACCAGCTTTGCACCACATTACTAGTTTTGTCAGTAACGCCAGGCGGCCGGGCAGCTGGAGATGAATCCGTTGAAAGAGGCCAAGTCCGTGGCGTGGACGATGCTGGTGCCAAGAGTCCACATCCTTGTCGAGTCTGAGACACGACCTGACGCACCGTCGCCTGGTATACCGACATATACAGTTGCTGCACCACTTGCGGTTGCGTCGCAGAAGTTGCCTTGTCAGGCATGATAAGACTCATGGACCCGTTTTGATCCATGGATTCTTCTCCTTGCACGCCCACTAAAAACAAGAAAGTCCAAACATGAACCGCACATCGCATCCATGAGGTGGAAGCACGTCGCACCCAAGCAGGGGCGCGACCTCCAAGTACAAGTTGGCTCTTCATCTTCTTGTTCACTGTGATTGTTGTTTAAAAGATATTACAATTATTGCACCTCCTATGCTTATAATGTTGACTGTATGCATGAAAAGTGCCTAAAAATCATGTTGGCTGATGGGATTTTTAATACGACATACAAGTAGGCTAAAATTAAAATGAGGTTCTTGTTCCTGAACATATACAGCTGATAGACGTCGTTCTCCCGAAAAAAAACAACCCGTTGAATCCTTAAGGGCGACAAGCTATTGGAATTATCTGTCACGCCGAACCAAACTATGGGATGGATAGTTCTTAGTTGTGAAATCTCTGCAGTATCACGATTAGTTGTCTTGACGTAGATCTTTAGTGTGGGTAGAAGCGAAAGAGAGGATACTGTTATTCTTGAAAGAGAGAGAGAGAGATTGCGGCTTTTACGTGATATCACTAATGTCTAGCTTTGCAGTTTCTTGTAGTGTTACAATAAATAGCAGTAGTTTGTTGATGAGTAGTAAAGCACTGTAGTGTAGTCCCTGAGTCTATTAGTGTTTTTTCGTTCTCTGTTCTTGCTGTTTCAGTTTGAGAGTTTGACGCTTTCTTCTGGTCTACCTATCTATTATGTTGGCTTCCAAAGTCTGTCAATAAATGTAGGGATAGGGTCACAAGTGTAGGGCCAAAAGCCGTTCAGTGCGAATACAATGCAAAAAAAAGCCTGAGGCTGTGATGTTCAGATAGAGTTATGTGAACGTTGCCTATAGATGTCTTGAGCGCCATCAAATAGAAGCAGAAATTTAAGCTGCATTCATCCAAATGAAATATTCGGTCTCCTTGTCGTGGTGTAACGCCTTTTGTCACCTTTCCGAATCTTAGTGCTGTGGATCTTCCGTACCAGCGGATCTCTTAGTGTTGTGGACGTTTCAGATCAGGGATCTAAAGCCTAAGCGCTGTTGGATCTTCGGTGTTTCCTCTCGCGAATGTTAGGCCTTTCCACTCTCAAATCTTGGAGCTTTCCTCTCTCAAGTCCTTCGTCTCTTTGGTCTTGTTAAAAACGTAGTGGCGGTGAGTCTCACTCGGAAGAGCCTCAGGATCACCTTCATCCCCTCGATTGTAGGTTGCCACACAATGGTAATTTCAGATTTCAGGACTCTTCGCTTTTTGGCCATCAACAAGGTCTCCATTACTTTCCAGGAGCTCATAGACGTGGATTGTACTCAGAAACCCACAGTGAGTTCTCTACTTGACAACCCTTTTTACTAAAAGCAAGTCGGCATCATCGTTTGATTCAGTATCGACTGAATCGAATCCGATGGTGCAATGGTGGTACCTTGGTCCGAAAACCTCAGCCACACATGCACCATATAAGATCCTCCATTTAGAACTAAACAGGGAGGCTCAGACAACTTTTCCATGCCTCAAGAAAACAGGCGGCTCTGTGTTTTTATTCCTGTGTTTATCACCACGTCTAGGTTGTGTACTATCTGAAAGAAGAATTCTATTTTGAAACAAGGACGTCTTCATGCGTGTTGATATGTTCATAAGTCCTTACATGTGTATACGATCTACTCGGCACGGCTTGCTCGCTTCGTGTGAACAAACATGATTGTAAGTACATTGATTAGGGAGTAATGTAATATGGATTCTTTTATTCTCACAAAATTCTGGACAAATATGAATCTTCAGCAATTTGTGTCAACCTCTCCGAGTCCGCGCGTCGCATTCGACCACCCCGTGCTCCTGAGCCACGAGCTGCATCAGAAGTCCTTTTTTAGCAAACCTCCATGAAAGAGAAGGCCAGAATGTCTCATCCACGAAGAAAAGTCGAACGGTCAAGGTACATTGCACGAGCCGAACGTCTCATCTACGAAGAAAGCTAGTTGTATTTCTATACTTTAGTGTCGACCTGATACCTCCTTCCATTTCTTCACCTTCTTGTCCGATCTGCTGTTCGTTCTGGACGCCTCATCTACGAGGAAAAGCCGAACGCCCGAATCTTCTCGAATTCTTCGCGCATCTTCTGTGTTGTCCTTTTTTCCCTAGCATGCTCTTCTTCGGCCACTAAGGATTAGAAGAAGAGCTTGCACAATCTGGAAATTCTCTCCAAATATTATGTATAACAAGAACATTGCGAATCGATGGATTAGCAACGACAATGATGCTCCTCTTTCTTCTAATGACACTGTGCTTCCTCCAATGCTTTTTGTTTTCAACAAAGACATGTGGTCTGGTAATGATGATAATGATGTGCCTAGCATGAGGGAGCAACTCTTTCCAGCGTGAATGGGAGAACGAGAACCTATCTAATGTGAGACCAGCACTTCTTCTCTTCTACAATTATTAGCGACATCAACATAGGTCATGTTTTCAACCATAATCATGATCACATTGGATTTCGATGATTCTAAGAGAGTTATCTTTGATCACATTACACTCTTGTCGACGTACTTTCGGGAGAAGGCGATGAGATTGGTATTGGTGGAGCAGAGCGAAGTAGAAAATAAAAATATCTTTCATAATAATCAGTAATATAAATATCTCTCATAATTACTATCATATTCTGCTCCCCATGCTGCCTGTTCTTCGCGGACTCTGGCTTGTTCATATTGCTGCAAATGCTGACGTCTCAGAGCGTGCGATTGACAATTGTTCACGCTTGGTCTTAAAGGTTGAAACAATTCACTTTTTAGTGGCAATCTCAAGTGAAGAAGGCTTGTAAAAGTGAAATGCGTCAACCCTTAATGGTCTGTCGTGGTACCCACTCGGCGCCCTGTCCATCATGCGGTACATAGCCACGCGTTGCCGAGTGGCGTGGAAATTAGAAGGCGACGACATTATTATTGGCGCACTCCTGGCAGGAACTACTCGAGGAGGAGGCAGGCACGCCCACGAAGAATGATCGTGCTCTCAAAGTTCTACCCTACTCCGAGACCGGGCGATCGCTACTCCTGCCCCCGCAGATTCGGATGCATTCTTCGCGCCAAGAACACACAGTGGGATAGATCCAGCTCTTGTAGTTAATCAAATGACAAGAACTGGATCTCACTCCATAGAAAAAAGCCAGCAACTGAATGTCGATGTTGTGAAATGCTACATGAAACGACTATTGCAAGGTGTACTACATTCATGTGAGTCGCGGTGTCCTGACATGATTCCAATCGTTGCCTAAGCAACATACACATACACACTTCCCATAGTAAATTGAGGTATTCCTAGTAGAACAATTCAAAGTCAATATTTCTTGGTAGAAGGTGGCGGGGCGCCTAACTGGAAAAAGCAAAAACCAGAAAAAGTAAGGTAATATGAGAGACAAATTATTGAGAAGGACACTTGCCTTAAAAGTTTGTGCATCCCTCTCCACCTGCTGTTGCTGGGTCACGAGAGACCTCGCGATTTTCTGCAACTTCGGAATTCTGGCTGCCTCCTCTGCTTCTTCGTTTCGTGCAGAAGCGCCTTCAGAAGTCTCTGGTACTGTTTTCGGGCTGTTCACTGCTGTCTCTACTTCTCGCTCTGTAGTATTCTCCCCTTGTTTTTCCCCTTGCAGCTCTGGTGTGGAGGTAGTCCCCGTATTTTCAAAAATTGATGCTGTTGCAACAGCACCGGCATTGAATCGCAAAACAGCTCCTGATGCCGCAGCAGCGGCGTTGGTTCGCGCAGACGCTGTCGGTCCAAAAACAATAGCAGCAGCAGAAAAAGCAGGAGCAGCAGAATTTACACTGCTTGAGCTTGAAGGCATGGGAAACAAACGGTCAAGCATTTCCTGCCTTTTTCGTTCTTCCTCTCTTCCTTCGTCATCCCATAGCCCCAGTGGAATCATCTTTCGAAGACCATACTTAATGATGAATTTCCTGAATTCTTTCGCCTGTTGGATTACATCAATCTGAACTACAGGTTCTGCTTCGGGTTCGGAGGAAGGTCGCGTTGCGACCGCTGGTACTCCTGGAGCAGTCTGTGTAGCAGCAGAGGTTCCTGTTGCAGCAGCAGTTGTTCCTGTTGCAGCAGCAGTTGTTCCTGTTGCAGCAGCAGTGGTTCCTGTTGCAGCAGCAGTTGTTCCTGTTGCAGCACCAGAGGTTCCTGTTGCAGCAGCAGAGGTTCCTGTTGCAGCAGCAGAGGTTCCTGTTGGCACTTGTTGGGTAGGACCTTCGGCAGTTGGTTCCGCACCTGAATGTGTCGACACTACGACACCTGTGGTTACTTCACCACTAGAAAGCGTACTTGCCATAGCAACAGCTGCACCTTCAGAACTTGAACTTGTTACTGTTCCTTGAGTCTCCTGATTAACAGCCTCTCCCTCGGCTGCATTGACACTTCTAGCGCCTGCTGTACTACCACTTCTAGCGCTCCCAGTACTCAAAAAACCATCCCCAACAGCTGCAGTGACACCAGCGAGACAGGCAGTCGATGCGAAAACGCAAGTAATTCTTTGACGAGACAACATTTTCTTGTGAGTTGTACGAACAAAGAGTTGTGATAATCTATATCAAGGCTAGATGAGGAATAAGTCGGTCACAAGTATAATCTAATGCATAGCGTACAAACAAGTCGTAGTATTCTGAGAAGTGTGCTTTTGCTTACAGGAGAAGAGTATATACTTGTCCACTTTGAGAGACTAGACGGATGGCATAACACTCAACGTGGATAAGTTCATACTCCTAGATAGAGCGTCATACTCTGAAGATTATTGAGAGCATAATAACTTATGCACGTTGGGATTTCAAATATCAAATCGTTTTCACAAACGAAGTTGTTATGAAGACGCAATCACTTGATCACGCGGCTCGCCTGCTGCTTCATGCGCATGCGCATAATCATGGTCGCGAAAACCTTTCTTCTAGAAGTCGCTATTTCAAAATTTCAAAACGTCACATCAGTTCCTACTACCCATTTCTAAACGTACACAGGTCGTGCTCCGATGCCCTAGAAGGTGTTCTTATCATATCATGACCAATGTGCTGTTTGAAAGGAATACCTCAACACAAATAGAAGTGCGTCAATTCATGCGGTGCATGGAGACTGTTCACAACTGTCAGGGCCCGTTGTAATCGACTGCGGATTGCAAACTCATGTCTGTATAGTCCCGTAGGTTCTCAGAAGATGATAAAATCACACATACAAGAACTTCAGACTTCTTACGCTTACTAGTCGCCATCCTGTCCACAGCAGTACAACTACTTCCACAGCAGTACAACTACTGCCACAGCCTTCTCCTCGCGTTCTCCAAATGTCGTTTTACTACTAGACGGCGAAAGAGGCATATGTAGGCGAGTGGCAGAAGGATGACGCATCCTCGGCAGAAGTGATTCAAGCCGGAAAATGCCATCACTTGCATTCCTAATCCACCCCAGAACCAGAAGGAAATGAGAGCTAAGTTACCTCCTAAGACTAACGTTGATTCGCGATCGATTGCTGCTCTGGACGTGTTTGAGTCTCGAAGATCCTTGCCTAGTCCATTCTTTGCTTGCCGCTCTCCAACTGCACTCGACTTCTCCTCAGTTCTTGGTCTCTCATTTTCCTGGTAAGCCCACGCTAGAGCAGCGAAGAGCACCAGGTTCACCGGCAATTTTCCGAGAGACAGGACTAGCATGTGACCCGCATCATCGTCCTTTGCTTCGTCGAAGGTTGTGCAAGCGATGAAAGGGGAACATCCTCGGGAGCGTCCTGCTCTACACAAAGTTGCTTGTTCGAAGTAGATGTGGTCGTACTATAAAGAACTACAAATTGAACTGATCATTCTAATATTTCCTCCATCTTCTTCGTATCCTAGAAAAAAAATGATCACCCGACTTCTAGCCGATCTTCAGCAAACTTCACATCGTCCGGCAAATAAATGACTACCTCCAAACTAATAAATAAATGATCACCAATACCGATAGCGAGAGGAACAGTAAACTTCACTCTTTCATCACCACCAAATGTATGGTTTCAGAATGACTACTCATACTCTACTAATCCAAACTAAAAAACTGACTTGAGTCATTCCCTTTTTTCACCATAACCACTGGAAAAAACATTGCTCTCGTTGTTTCGAAATAGCAAGCCAGTATGCGAGACCAGAAAACTATGCGGTGCAAACCCGGATCAACCGCCCACAAAACTGCTACGAACATATACATCCGATGAAGCGTTAATCGAGAATCTGATAAGGTTGTGGGTTGATGTTTTGGAGAGTCGGACAGAATTTCAGCGCGATGTTCTGGGGAGTCGGATCCTAGGTTTGTAGGTTCATGTTCTGCAGAAGGTGACGGCCCAGAAGAAGGTTGATGTCCTGGTACCACTCCAGATTCGCGATCTCTCCTACGGTCGAATGGATTAGACAAATGATGGTGAGCTGATTTTTCTCGATTGTGCGTAGTTGTCATGTCTTTGAACCCAGTGTTGGGTGACGTGGTGTGGCCTTCGTCACACTCATCATCTAGAAGGTCCTGAAATAAATCTAGACCCACTTCTACTTGCGTTCCTGACGAACAATGATTGAAGTTGCTTTCGTACATAACCTTTACTTGTCTTCCATGATGTATGCCACGGGAGAGTTGTACGGAACTGCACAGGAAAAGACCTACGGTGTACCAATATACTGGTGAGGTAGGCGGTGCCCCAAAAGCATTCTGCCACCAAACTGCCGCTGCAAATCCGCCAAGGAAATTAAAGAGTTGAGTGTAAAATCTTCTGATACCGTTCAACATTCAGATTTGTCTTGTATATCATAGCCCAATAGCTTCTATAGAAAGCGTACACTTGACTTATAGCTGTTTTTGCGATTGTATCTCGAGAGGAAACAGGCTTACTCAATGCCGCTTGCTACTCTCTTCTCAACTATCAATCTTAATAAAAAGTGCTGGCAACGCGATGTATTCTCCTACTGTTTTGTGCGCCACGTACGTCTTGTACAAAAATTCCACGTCCGCGCTGTCGTCCTCTTCTTGTTGTGCTGATAGGATCTCAATATAGTTTGGGTTTGCAGCTTGATCATGGTCTATTTCTAGGGAGAGATTGTCATTGTTTGCATTCTTGTGGAGATCGTTGCTGTTTATAGCCTTCTTCTCCGTTCTGCCCAACAATTGTTCGTGACGCTGCTTCGTATAGGTCCCCGAGTGGGTTAGAAAAGCTTAGCCTACTCTTGAATCTATGAGCATTCCGGAAGAAAAGCTTAGCCTACTCTTGAATCTATGTAGAAAATCTACATCTACCTTGACTTCTACCACAAGGCACAACTCATAGTTACGCAACAACAAGGGAATCAAAACGATAAATCTATCTTGATCTTCGAACAAATTTAATCATGCAGTAACTAAAGGTGGCTTTTGCTCCTACCCGGTAGGTTGTCCAAGTGCCCAGGATGGCAGCTGACGGACAGGTTGAGACACTTAACGAAGCACTTAACGGACAGGTCCCGTAAATGCCTCAGGAGTCACTTAACAAGGCACTTAACGGACAGGCCCCTTAAGTGCCTCGTGAGGCACTTAACGAGGCACTTAAGGGATGCCTCATGAGGCAGCTAACGAGGCACTTAGCGGGCAGGCCCCTTACTGAGGCACTTAACAGGCGGGCCCCTTAAGTGTTTCGCAGAGCACTTAGCGAAGCAGTTAACGAAACACTTATGAGCAGACTGGAAGCACTTTATAGGGGGCATCCCCAAGTGCCTCGAGTGACACCTTCACCACTTAAGCGACAGCACGCTTGAGTGGTGAAGCTGAGTGACGAAGTCACCACTTAAGCGAAGGTGGTGATCACAATGGACAGAGTCACAACTCAAGCGAAAGCCCGCTTAAGTGATGACAGTGGGTAACACATTCATCACTTAAGCGAATTCAAGTCCCGATCTACTTCCAACAGCCAATAATCCCGAGATCAAGCGCAAGCCAGCTTCCATTTGTATTCCATATAACAAATCCATTTTGATGCGGCCAAATCAAAACCAATTCTATAGTCGAAACACACATCACATCAGACAGTCTACATCTCGTATTTGTGTGATCTTAAGGCAAACGCATATCACATTGATCGTAAGTATAAAAACTGGTAAACGGCTGCTCCTGTCCACACGAGCATCCCAGCAAGGTGTGTCCAGAGTGAAAAGCCTTTGGCATTTGTGTGTGGCGAGTCTGTCACAGCATCCAAAGATTAGAGATGCACATACAGGCTTTTGACTTTGAAAGATTAACCTGCAAGAAAATATAGCTAGAATGAATCTACAATGCACAACTGGGTCTTACAGAGCCAGAATGTTCATATGTAACACATCAAAAGAACCCTTGCTTGTCATAACACAATACGCCAGTTGTGAACTCGATTTGTAGATTCCGAGCAAATCCAACAGCCGCTAGTATACTTAGAATTCCTGGCAGAAGATGCGAAATATTGCTCCACCTTTTGTCTTCAAGTGCGGTCTCTACTCCAACATCATTTCTGGCAACGGGTTTTTGAGTTCCTGCGACCCCCGCGGCTCTCAATGTCCCTCTGCTCTGACCACTGCGAATTTCAGAACTTGCTTTCCAATCTTGTAAGAGTGGCTTCTCTTTGTCACTGGAGGTGAGAAGAGACATTTTCCCAGAACCGTAATACCTCAATGAAAGATCTGAATTTCTGCCTAGTATATTGTATCATAAGGTATTTCATTTCGAAGGCCGATGACAATGTGGGAGTTGAAAAAAAAAAAATTTCAATTTTTTTGTCTTGTGGTGCGTGGAAGAAATAGATAATAGTCTCCAGCTCCACACAATCTAAAATAAATCCAAGAAGAGGCTCAAAGACTCATGCTACATCACCAACAAGAAGAGGGCTCCTCCGAAATGAGTCGTTTCTGTTGAGTCAAATTCTTCTGAGAAAAAAACTCGGGGGAACTAGGAAAAGGAATCGGGAGAAATTAGGGACATCGGGAAAATAGGAATCGGATGCGGATGGTCTGCAACGATGTTGACAGAAGTCGGCATGATGGTGAAATATGGAAACCTTATGAAACGACCCGTCAGCGCACCTCTAGATGATCTTGAACAAAAAATATCAAACTCCTGCTTGCATGATCTTCTGCAGGAGCGAACCTCTGTAACCAAATAACTCTTCGTTCTCTCTGTTAGCAACTCTTGTGCGCGGGAATACTTACTTCGCTCCAGTCTGATAATCTCTCGCGGTCGTGAACAACCCAGTATGCACTAAAAAGACTTGGGTGAAGATAAATTCTCTCGAAAACTTGAAATCCGCCTGCGCAACCCACCGCCACTGAGTTAAAGGCGCCTCCCCAGTGTTTAGTTAAAGGCGACTAGCCACTGAGCTAAAGGCACCTCCAACAAGTCCAACTAGCCAATGTTCAGCGTCCAACCACCAAACTAACCAAAGGAACGGCTTCGGCCAATGTTCAGCGGCCAACCGCCAAACCATGCGTCCGTGCTTCTTTCTCCGACCCGAGTAGGAGGGCTTCGCTTGGAAGTTTGGGCTTGCCGCCTTCCACAGAATGTCGGAGGAAGTAGAGAACCGAAAATAGGCAGCAAAGCGTATCAGTACTTACGCGCCTTGCGCTTAAAGTGTACCCCCCTGCAAGTGCCTAGCCCCCCTGAGCGGGGCAACCGGTCCGCGGGAACGGTTTTCGGCCAATGCTCAGCGCCGCAAACCGAAGCGGCACGCGCGCGCCCGCGCCGGTCCAGCGGGTCCGGGCGCGCCGGCGGCTCTCTTCGCGGTTTTGGCACGACAGCCGCACGCCGCCCCCCATGCTTCTGCCCTTCCCCCATGACGGCGCCGCCGCTGCAAGCGTGCCTGCGCGCCTCCCCTGCAAGCTGGCGTCGCTCGGAAGAGCGCGCCCCCAGGCGGCCACGCAGGGGCTATGTCGCCCTCTATATCCGCCTACGGGACCAAAAGGCGCGGCTCTTCTGTGCGGACGAGCAAAATCCCCCGCGGGATGGCGAACGCTTTGGACGTGTGGCAATTTTTGTACAAGAAGTCGCAGAGGGCCGCGGCGTGTTTGGCCGTTGCAGCGCAGCCGCTGCGACCGTAGGGGGAATCGGGGCAGCGCTGCAACGGCCGAGAAGGCCTGGCTTTTTTAAAAGTTCCGCAAGTCCTCAAAGCCGCGGACCCTGGAGGAGAAGGAAGCGCAGGCGGACGGCGGTCCGCGTAAGTTGTCGGCCCTTCGCTGACCGGCTGCCAGGCTTGGAGCACGATGCCCGAAACCGAGCCCGAGGGTGCGGGCCCTGGGCCCTTTGCTCCAAGTCCGCGCCTCTGTGCAGGTTCCGCCGGCAACGAAAGGCCGCCAATTGCCCCGCATTTTTTGGGGGAAGAAACGGCTATCGATCCCTAAGCCCCGTGGTGGGTTGCTGTGTCTGCGCGCGAACGATGAAAAGCAAAATCAAGGAGTAAGAGGGGCGGGGGCGGAGGCGCGCAGCGCGGAGAGGCGGGCGCGGGGCCGGAGGCGCAGACGAGGCGGAGGCGATTGCGTAGGCGGGAGCGGGGAGCGCGGAGGGGCGGGTGGGTGAGGGGCGCAGGCCGCGCGGAGAAGCGGGCGGCGCGGCAGAGGTGCCGCTCCTCAGCGCGGCGGACGCCCTTGGCGTCCATGCATTCCGCGGCATACCTTGCCGCGTGTCGCGGGTGACGTAGTGACAGGCTACCAGGCTACGCGCGTGGCCTTTCGGTGGCAATTCATAAGATAGCAAAAAAAGCCAGCGAATTCATTTCAGTGGAGACTATAAAAGAAAAGCACCCCGGTCAGCTTTTTCGGCTCAGAATCTAGAGGGGGGCGCTAGAGCCGGGGGCTTTATTTTTCAGCGGGGACAAAAAAGCAGAACAAGCCGCAACTTTTTTGGCTTCGGATCTAGGTAGAGGGAAGGGATTTGGCTGCGAATCTATTTCAGAGGGGACTGAAAAAAATGGCACCTATTCCAGTCGCGACCAGAAAAAAACAAACTTTTTCCACGTTTTCGCGGTCAATTACTAGAGGGAAGCGGCTGAGCCGGGAACTTATATCAGTGGGGACGAGAAAGGGGGGAGCCTTTATTTGCTCACTTTTGCAAGTTTTCCCCTTGAAAATGAGACCGCCAGGAATTTTTGCCAGTGCTGCCCTATGTCAAAAAATGCCAGGGAGTGCACTCTTTTGAATTGCCCAGCCATCTGCTCCACGCTCTAAAATTCGACGCGGCTGACACCTTCCCCCCCGGGGTATGTATTTCCCAGCCAAGCAGCGCCCCACTTTTAAAAAAATAAGAGAGAGCTACTCTCTAACTTTTTTAAAAGTAGAAAGCGGCTCGGCTAGAAAATGCACACCCCGGGGAGAGGCGCGGGCCGCGCTGAATTATTGCAAACGGATGGACAGCCGCGGCAGAAAGCTGCTCTTTTTAACACATTGCGAGGGAATCGAATCCCTCGAGTAATTCGATCAAAATAAAGCCACGACGATGCCACTAATCAGCCACCCAAGCCGCCGAGTGAGCTGATTAAAAATAAGAAACCAAGGGGCTCGATCTGGAAAATCGAAAGAACAAAAAAACGAAAACGGTTGAAATAAAGCAGCCGCATCACATTGCGGCCCGGTCTCGTTCCTCGTGGAATCTATTGGGCGCGGGGTAGTTATTCGGCTGCAAAGGAAATTGCGTGGCGGATTTTATTGGCCCGCAAATTTTTAAGAACGACAACTCCTGCGTCAGCCACATAAAGCCGCTCGCAATAATTTCGGGCGGTGGCTCACTTTCTCTCTGGAGTCTGGATTTTTCACTCGAGCAGTCTCACAGATTTAAAAAAGTGCGGCGCTGACCTCTTTCTTTTTTAAAGTCCTCGCGAAACTCTTAAGCGAAACCGTTAGGGGACAGTGGTGCTTCTGGGCCGCTTTCGATATTTTGCCACTTTTCTGCACAGTTTGGCAAGCCAGTCCCTGGGTCGCGGGGCCAGGCAGTTCGTCTCTCTCCTTTTCCCATTTCCTTATCGGTTTCGCCTCCGTCTTTCCGGGCTCTGTTCAGATGCTCCCGCCATTCCCTTATCGGTTTCGCCGCTCGCTCGGCGTGCCCGTCTCCTCTGCAATCCCTCCGGCTACCGATACAAACCGAATGAGACGACAGGCGACACCATCAGACACGGGCCCGCCCTCCTCTTTAAGAGTCTGGAACACCATTAGCGGGAAAGGCTAAGCCTGTGGGCCTGTAGCTCTCAGAAGTGCGCCCGGTATAGGTAGCACACGCACACGAAGAAGGCCAAGGAGATAACTCCAATCGCGAACATCTTCCGGGAAGGCCGCGGAGGCTTGGTAAGACGCCCTGTCTGGCGCATCGTCCCGCTGGCGGCCGAAGGCCGCCAGGGACGATGGGGCGTGGGCTAGTCCTTCAGCTACGCGGCCGCCTGTCAGGAGCATTCCCCCGCCCCCCTTGTACCCCGCGCCCCCCTTGTACAAGGTTACATGGTTGGGCACAGTCCGGGGGCGCACTCTTCGCCGCAGGCTCGTTATGTAGGTGCACAGTCGCGCAAACGTTTAACCTTGTACAAGGGGGGCGGGGGGCGAGATGGTCACGCGTTGCCCCCTCGTCCCTGGCGGCCTACGGCCGCCAGAGAGACGACGCGCCACGCTGCGCTGGTGGGCGCTGATGGGCGCGGGGTGTGCGCCGCATAATCCAGCGCGAACAGCCCAGCAAGGCAACCCTCTGCCCCCTCGTCCCTGGCGGCCTACGGCCGCCNTCAGCCTGCCTCAAGGAATAGTCCTTCGCTCCTCAACATCTTCCACCTTTGCTTTTCCCCTTGGCAGTGCGATTCAGTGGCTGTGGTCCCTGGGTTCGTGTGGAAGCAAGATTTCAACAACAATTCAGAGAGAACGTAATGACTGTTCACGCGTAGGTATGAATGATGCAAAAGTTTGTAAGTTTACCCTGTCTCTGCAGAAAAGAAAATGTTTTAAGTATATGAGGAGCCGATAGTATTAGGAGAAGTCGAAGCCTTAGATTCCCGCCTCAGGCAGTTCAATTCAATGAATGGAGGCCATCCCTACCCGAAGCATGGGGCTAAACCAATGAGGGCAGGGCCCTCAATCGCGCACGGATTTCGAAAAGGGCGCACCGATCGCGGTCCATCTTTCCGAGCTTATCTCTTTGGGTGGACTAAGCCCAAAGAGAGTCCCCCCCTTGCATTTGAATAGGCTGGCGCGTCGGCCGTTCTTCTGCGGAAGAACCGAGACCGGCTCGCTATCTTCCCAATCAATTAACGACGCGGATGGTGTGCATTCGTTTCGCCGATGTGTGGGCGCCATGGGCTGGCTTTGGGTAAGCCTGGCAACTCCGACCCCCCACCCTGCGGCGCGCTGAGGCTCGTGCTTTGTTGGTCTGCTCGTGGCTTCCGTGTAGGCCCAAGTAGGTCGTCACGCTGTTCCAGTAATGTGAACCATCGGCCTACTAGCGTCCACGGCCCGCGATCATCATAGCGCACACCTCTCAGGAAGCGCGGGCTCCAAGCCCTCGCGCGATCAGCCAGCAAGCTCCAAGCGGTTGGGTGTGAGTAATTCGCTCCACAAGAGTAAAGGGGAAGCCACTAGCAGAAGACTTCCCGAGGCAGCAGCTTCGAGAGGCTATTGCAAAGCCGTACACGTATAAGCAACACGGCGCCCGCGTTAGTGAGCCACGCCAGTCGTATGATCTTGGTGGACTTTGTTTGCTGCGCTGGGCTCGTAATCAGAAGTCGGCAACGGCACGCGCGTCAAGATCTGGCGCGTAGGTTTTGGCAGTCTCCTCGATGGGGATCCTCTTCGCAGCTGTGCGCGCATCTCCGTTGGATCTATGCGGAGCATCCGCCCGAAGTCAATACCACAGCGAGCGCGGGAGTGGTCCAGGTGGAACCGCAGCAGGCGCCCGGTAGGCGTCCCAAAAGGCGGGCGCGGGCGCGAAATGACTATACTTAGAGTGTAAGGATGGAAGTGCCTGCCGCCTTGGTGTCCTTCGCTTTAGGTGCTTCCTCTGCTTTTCCTGCTGCTGCTGGCTGCTGCTTTAATACCTGAGAAAATTGTGGATAATACTCAAAAGCAAACGATTAAGGAAACACTAGCCGAGAGGCGTCAAGAACTTC